ATAGGAACTATAGCCCGACTGTATACTTTCTTATCGCTTCGTATAGCCCGGCTATATGATTTGCTCCGCTTTCTACAGCCAGCTATATGATTTTTAATAGCCTCCTTCAGTCGGCTTTAAGAACTCCTATGGTATTTTGATACGCAGCTCCTATCGCCAATTTTTACCAGGGCGTATAAACTCATCAGATTTACCAGCGCCTTACGTAAATTGAGAGGCTGACAAGTCGGACCATTCCCCCCGAAAATTAGGAACGAGAAATTAGAATCAGCTCTATGCGTTTGATACAAATTGAGTTGCCCAACATTTGAGGTCGTGTGGATCAAACTTCACGGCTGGCCAGGAGGTTGTTGCATTCTTGCCTGCTTGTGGAGCCTGAAGAGGACACTAATAAAAGTATGTGTGTTCTTGTGTTACTTTTGGTTAATATAGAAAGTGGGACACATATAAACACAAATTTTGCGTTGATTTTGGTACAGTTTACGATGAATGTAGCGCGGAAAACCATGGAGAGACTGGAAGAATGCATTCCTCCGATTGCGTCGTTGGTATTCTAAGTGTAACCACTTAATTAGCTCTCTCCATGATAAATGTTCATTTATGAGCGGGAAAAGTAAGTTTGATTCATACGTACCTACGTCAATTTAACTGCACTTGTTACTTAGACTTAAGTGAATTTCGTAATTCGTTCAACATACCTGAAACAAAAACCAGAACAAAGACCACACGTTAATAAATTATTTTCATTCCATCATTTTTCTCGTGAATGGGAAGGTAGTGAAATAGTGCTGGGTCCACACTACTTTGCTGTAAACAGTGGGCAAAAAAGATTTCAAAAATTTCAATTAGAGTCAAAACATATGAGCGTTTAAAACGTTATAGATCCGTCGGCGCGGCGTCACCTCAGGTTAATATTCCAATGCATCTGCCCGCGCTGNGAAGTTTTGTACTGGTACTCATTAAAGCTCAATAATGCTGACTCTAATTGATATTGTTGAACCTTTTGGCTTTGTTTTCCCCGCAAAATAGTGTGGACCCAGCATTTGGCCATGGATTTTTTCAATACTTGAGAGCCACCTTCAGCGTCGTACCTCCGAACGTAAGTAGCTGAAAGAGGTCAATGCTCACAATCAGCTCCTCTTAGAGGGGGAGGGGGGGGGTTACAACGGTCAAAAAGTACGAGCCATTCTTAACTTGTAGCCCTATTTTGCCTGACTTCCTCACAATAAATCTGCCGTGTTAACGGCAGAGAGCCGTAAGTGATTTTCTGTATGAGCCACAGTGGCGTGGCGTGGCGTGGCGTGTTTTGCAATTTATCGATTTATTTGCTATATAAACCTATGGAAAAGGATCGACAAACAGGAACACGTTAATAATCGATTCTTTACTACAGCTTCAAATGGGGAAAAATCCACAATCGATTATTCACTCCTCTCATGTGTCTGAGGCTCATTCCAAAATGGACTTACTTTTCTTTTTCAACACAAGGCAGAATCTTACGGTAGTCTACGTGCGCACACGGTAGCACGTAAGCTCGACGTTTCGTCGCTCCTGTGACGTAAGAGCGTAATTCGACTTTCTCGTGAGCCCTGTTTTCCGTATGACTCAATGCTTTTTGGGGCTCATGTGGAAATTGAGATACGCATTGACGTCAAAAGAGCGACGGTTTATAAGCCCCAACTATCCACCCACCTTGCATGAAAGATTGAAGAGCCGTCTTTTGTTGAGTTTTTGGTCCGTTTCGAACTGCCGACACAACACCCACACTCATTCTCTTACAAGCTACCGTATCACCGTTCACGCGTTGCACTGTGAAATACGAGTCACCAGGAGAGGTTGAAAATCAAGCTTTTAATGTTTATTTTGTCAAATTATACATTTTCAGGGGTGATTCTCAAAAGAAATTTTACGATAAAAGCGATGAGGCCAATTTAAAACATCTATACACGTGCTTTCAAGCTTTCAAAATTTCAAATTTATATCCGACCTCCTCCGCTAAATCGCTCCACTAGCCGCCGCACAATAGTGAATGGGAGAGGTCGGACAAAATTTGGAGACTTTAAAAGCTCATAAGTAACTCCGTTTATAAAAAAATTTGAGGTTCCAAAAGTGGTTCCATCGGTTTTCTAGTAAAATTTCATTCAAGAGGCGCCCCTAAAAATGTAATAAGTGACGGAATATACATCAAAATTTGCAGTTTTAGTAAAAAGTTTTATGTCCAACCTCTCTAACTGACTCGATCCACTGTGCGCCGCGGCAGTGTTTCAATGAACCGTGGTAAAATTCGGTAGTTAACATTACGATGGCCAAAGTGCGAAAGTATCTCCATCGCGACGTTTCAATTTTTTCGAAGAGACACGAGTTAGCTTCATAGGTTAAAATGTATGTCGAATATTTTGCCGACAGGAAAGACAAATAAAACAGACTTTTGAGAAATACCGTTGACAAGATTTCCATAGAAAAATCAAAGTATAAAAGGAAGTTTGCAACGTCGAAAACGGATAAATGCGGTTTCGCACTTTGACCATCGATTAGTTTCGATGAAATATTAGGAGAGAAATTCAATGAACGACAGCGTTGGTCACCGCTGCGCATGCACTTTTCGACTGCGAGTGGATGAACTGCACACGATATAACATAAAGAGCCACTAGAGAAATGCAAGCACCTCAGACAACGATTATCTGCGACTTAAGCTAGACGTGTTTATGCTAAAAGGAACTATGTGCATAGGGTTTGCGTGTAACATAGTTCCTTTTAGCATATATACGTCCATACTGTCATGAAGTACGTACTCACGGAGAGAGTTACGCTATTATGTAGTTACGTGTTGAAGGACCAAGGACCTACGTCACAAAAACGGTACAAGAGAGGGGAGAAGGGGGTCGGAAAATCCAAAATTTAGCGTTACGTATTTTCAAACGATACCATGTAGCATTAAAATGGATTAAATGAGAAGAAAAACCTAATTATTTGAACAAAAGCGTTTTAATACTGAGGAATTCGTTTTTATAAATTTTAAAAATAATCAACTGCAGGAGCTTTGTTAGTTGATTTATGACCATGACAGGCCAATTTGCTGCAAAAATAATTATTTTTCTTCAGTTTTCAATAAATTATTCCTGCATCTGCTGAGTGCGAAAAGAGCGAAATAAATAAAGAGAAATAAGCCAACTGTACAGTGGTGCTAATGTTCTTCCAATATTCACGAGAAATCATGAAAAAATACATCCCACCCACAACAAAACTTTTTCACTGCTCAACAATTTTAGAAAAATGAACCGGTGGAAGTATAGAGCTTTTTCCATTCGTTTTTTTGCTCTTTCTTTTACTGCATTTTCTTTTTTTATTCAAGTTTTTTGGAGGGGAGGGGACTTGCGTGTTTTTGGATGATTTACTGGACCAGACGTATCCTTTAAGAGAGTCTAAAAATCTGTCGTGTCTGAGGACAAGGAAGTGGAAAAGTGTTGAACGCAACTCGTGCAGAACCTCTAACGTTAGTTGAAAAAATGTATCAGTAGTCGAAGACGCAATTTTTAAAGTGGTCTGGCAACAAAGCGAAAGACAAGGCGGCCGGATGAAAGTAGTCCGGCACCATCCAGGCTTTAGGTGAGGATTGGACGGGAGGAGGAGGGTGTGGAGTGCAGACATCTTGGAAACTTGGTGGAGTCCGATTGCGAAAAGCGCGCTAATGTGAAAGCTGCTTGAGTGGATTACAGTAATTGGGAAACGATGGCAGATGCGATCCATCTGCACTTTATCCTCCGCAACAATCGCCCGTGAAAAATGTGTTAAAAGCGCAAAGCACTACTTGCGCAGCTCGACGGCCAACCGTGAACGTTGCCGAGCTAAGGGAAAACGCCGTATGAGCCTTAAGATGTTGCCAAATTTCCTATAAAAACACGAATTTTCCGAAGGATTTATGAATTTTTTTCTTTGAATTTTTGAGTGAATCAGTCGTTTATCGGAGGAAAGAATGTGTCTACATGTGAGGGGCTTGGAGGACAAGGCGCACACGAGCAGTTTTTGCCAAAGGCGTGGTGTGCTTTGCGATATATCGATTGTAATGCCATTTAAACCTATGGAAAAGGATCGATAATCAGGGTGCTCGCAGCGAACACCTTAATAATCGATTCTTTACCATAGGTTTAAATGGCAGAACAATTGATACATCGCAAAGCACGCCACGCCACTGGTTTTTGCTCTTTCGAGAAATACATATATGTGTTTGAAGTTTCGAGATTTGCATGGATCCTTACAGCGGAGAGGGAGTTCATGCTGACTTTTTGATGGAGTTAGGGAGCGAGATTTTCACAAAATATGCATTAAAATAGTTGAAATCGATATTATCTTGACTTCTTCCAAAAACTGCACTTATACGCCTTGTTCTCCGAGCCCCCCACTTTGCGTCTAAAATTTTGCTGATATTGGAGGATAAGTTGAGGAAAAATCATAAAAAATGGCCGGGAAGTAAGAACTTGAAGGGCTACACAATTAAACATTTCTGTGTTTGATATCAATCTGTGCTACTTTGTGTTCCTTTTATTTTGTTTCAGGTCAACCTAGTGAAGGACTTGGTTGCTAAACACAATTTTGTGTTAAATCGACCCAAACCGTTGGCCACTCTGAGAGAATCATGGAATCGTGAAGAAAGTTCCCTGCCGAACTTACTTGCTCTTATTGTTTTCCTTCCTATACGCAGAGGTCACGACTAGCGAGTGGCTAGCGCGTGGGACTTTCGCCGATGTGATCCAGGTTCGATCCTGGAGGCTAACGACTAATTTTCAACGAAGTCGCAGATATTCAACCCAAAGATTTGGTCGATTTGACACAAGGCAAAATAACACAAAAAAAAATCAACCAACAGCTTGTGTTACTTCAAGTTTTACTTATTATATTAACACAAGCTTTTGGTTACTATTACTGTGTATAGAATTGGGGTGGTGCGAGACATTTGGATCACTCAAAATGTAAGCTTTGTCTGTATTTCTATGAATCCTACCTGAGGTTTTCCACGACGGTTAAATGCTCTAAGTCTGATGAATGATATTCTGATGCATGCTTGGAGCACATTTGGAGCAAGCGCTTACGCTTCTCTAGATCCCGGCTGTCCTCTTCATCATCCTCTCCTCCCTCCTGCTCATCGCCGTCTTCTTTTTCTTCCTCTTCGTCCCATCCGGGGGTAACCACCCCCTCACAGCGCGTGCCGAGGTTGTCGCCTTCGGCGAACTGCGGCTTAGAATCAGGGCTAGTTCTATTGGCAGAAAATCCGTAATCCGAACTGGTTTTACCTCTTGAAGACTCCGAACCGGAACTAGTCTTTCTCGCACCGGAATCGGATCTCGAACTAGTTTTGCTTCCGGCAGATTTGGATCCGGAACTAGCTTTTCTTTCGGCAGATTCGGATCCGGAATTAGTTTTGCTTCCGGCATATTTGGATCCGGAACTAGTTTTTCTTTCGGCAGATTCGGATCCGGAACTAGTTTTCCTTCCGGCAGACTCGGATCCGGAACTAGTTTTTCTTCCGGCAGATTCGGATCCAAACCCATTGTCTTTTGAGGCAAAGTCGGAGCCACCGTTCTCCGAGAATCTGAACCTGCTCTCTAGATCCGCGTTGAAATTGGCACGATTCACCGAAGCGGAAACGGGACTCTTTGCGGAAATCTGGAAGGTCGAACTGGATTTCCGCACAAAAATTCTGGAGTTATTACTTTTTCCTGCGGACTCGCGGATGAAACCAGCTTTTATCCCAGAATCGTCAGCGCCGGAAAATTTTGAAAACTGAGACTCGGAACTACTTTTTCTAATTGAGAACTCCGAGCCGGAACTGGTTTTCCTGGCGGAGCAGTCGGAGCCAGTTTTTCCAGAGAACTGAGATCCGGAACTGGGTTTTCTGGCGGAGCAATCGGAACCAGTTTTTCCGGAGAACTGTGATCCGGAACTGGGGTTTCTTGCGGAGCAATCGGAACCGGTTTTTCCGGAGAGCTGGGAACCGGAACCGAATTTCCGCGCTGAAAACTCGGGGGAATCGGCGCTGGTTCTTCGCGAGGACGAGGGCTGCGAACCGGTTTTCTTGGATGAACTCTCTGGGTCCGGGAAGAGGGACTCGTGGACGTCCATGTGGTAGGAGTCCATTCGCGTGTTCCAGCGGCGCGTGCGTAGTTCCCGTTCGTCCCGCGTGGAGCGCCGCGAGCGGCGAAAGCTGAACCCGCGATGCCCAATGGGGTGCTTGCGCGGTTTTCGACCACGGACGCGCGCGAAAAACCGGTCCAACATTTTCCGGAACATCACACACAGGTTTGGCGAGGGGCTAGTCTCTGGTTTGAATTGAAAATTGGTTCATGAGTCATCGTTCACTGAGATGTTGTAGATGCTAAAATTTGTATGATTAACTTTGGTGGTAACGAGTGATCACTGTGAAAAACCGCGGGAAATTTCACTGAGAACAAGATAATTTTTTTTTAAATCCTCACTCAAAAAAAAGCTAAAATAAAATAAAAATAATAAAAGTGCAGTGGAAAGATTTAAGCAGGGATATTCTTTCAAACATTTTGACAAGATTCATGAGTAAAATATTTAAGAATTGAAAAGGGAATTACTTATTTTTAGCCTTCTCCTTTGACATATCTTAAAAAAGTGTCTTAAAGCCGAAGATAGGAGAGACGTATTCGGGCTTCTTTTCTTAACTTTTCCATCGAATCCGAATGACATCCTCATCGGCATAGTGGAGCATTGGGAGTTCGTGCCTCGCGCCATCGCGCCTTCAATCTTGCGAATACGACGCGGACAGCTATCAAGTACGAATAGTTGTATCTCTGCGCCGTCAACAACGCGCGTCTCTTCCCTTGCGCTGATCCCATATCGACGCGCGACGGTAGAACTACCAGGTCGCGTATCTCGGTTCGCGGCGTTGCAGACTTCCTGTCATACTTTATGTTTAAAATGGAAAATTGCTCACGGTCAATTCTTGAAAACTTCCGTATTTTTTCTTTTCCGTGCGGAGGAAATTGTGTGAAAATCTCAAGAAATGATGTTGATTTTTTCTCATGGAAAAAAAAAAAAAAAATGAGAGCGGAGATTTTTGAACACCGCAAACGAGATACGTGGTCTCTTAGTTTCACTGTCGATGTTTCTGCTTCAAAATTTCACGCAATACACGATTTCGCCACTTAAGGCACTGAAGTTGACTACCGATTAAAGTATACACTGGAAAAAAAGAAAAAAGAAAGAAGAAGAAAAAAAAAAAACACACATTAGATCTAGAGTCCAGACTCTTCAAAACATTGACAAGAAAAAGGACTCTCGATTCAATCAGATTTAAGCTTAAATCAAAAGGAAATCCGCTCAAATTAAGAGGCTTGGTTCTTGATTTAATCTTAAATCTGATTGAATCAAGAGTATTTTTTCTTGTCGATGTTGTTAAGAGTCTGGACTCTAGATCCAATGTGTTTTTTTCCAGTGTACCATCTTCTTTATTTAGTACAGGTCATAAAAAATTGGAACATTCCCGCTAACATGAAAAATAGTATCTACTTAAATCGAAATGCGAATTGCAATGGTTTTGGCAGGCTTCTCATTAAGCAGTGTCCCTTGTCCCCTCCCCACCCTGTGTTGTTCAAAGTGTAAATAACGTGCATTAGCTGAGCCGAAGTGCCGAAATTAAGGCTGTCATATTTTCATTGTGCAAAGAGTGGCACGGTAAGGTTCAAGGTACAATTTAACTCAAGTAGAGTATTTTTCCCCCTGAGCGAGACGTTTGAAACTATGCATAAAAAAAGGTCAATATCTTGGTCAGAAGTTAGTTTCAAGCATTTTAATTGCACAAATCGTGGTCTCCATGAAACTTTGATGCGGAAACACACCAAAATGCCTAAATTCGTAATGTGTATAGTGGTCCATTACCACATTTTAAAAACATGTTCAAAAATATTTAACGTCAATCGGTATAAGCGGTAAATGAGTCTATCGAACGCATGTTCTTGGACATCGGTTCGCGTGCGGGCGGGGAGCATTGGCACAGACCGTCACTCCTCTGACGTAAGGACGTATCTCCTTCTCCGAATGAGCTCCGAAAAGCATGGCGTCATACGGAGCTCAGGTCTCACGTGGAAATTGAGATACGCCCTTACGTCAGAAGAGCGAAGAGACGGGCAGTTGATGCGTGGCGAAACGGAGGCGCGATGCGGCATGGTAATTGGTAACCCTGGCCGGACGTTACAAAAATCGCATCGCGTGGTGCTAATCAAATTATTTACGTTCTCGTTTCGTTTCATGCCCCTCACTGTCGATTGTTTCGAAACGTCCAACAAACGACAGCGCTTCCACACTCGTCGATACATCAGCCGACTGTCCATCGGTAACGATGATACAAGTATTTTTTTGTATGTGATTGTCCGCGGAGGGAAAACCTGAGTCTGCAAAATTTAGCGTTTACTGGACCATAAATAGGGTGCAAAGTAAACCTTTAAAATGAATCGTCATCTTCCGGCCAAAGAATCTCAAGCGCCAATTTTTGACTGCCAATCTCCTGCATGGGACTAACGTAAAAGGAAAAGTTTTTTTTTTTTTCCGGAAGGAATTTTATTTAATTATAATGTAACTATACTACAGGCATTTCCTTGTATCTATCTACATGGTCTAGAACTAAAACTAAACGAATTCCATTAATTTTACAGGGTAACGTTAGATAATACCATGACTAACGGAAAACGTTAATCAAAGCCGTTTTAAACACAACGAAAATTTAAAATTTTTAACTCTTGCTCAGTATCACTCATTAAATCTGGTTTAGGTCAAATTTGAGGAGAAAAGTCAAGTTACGTGTCCAGTTTGGTGCTTAAGATACCCTGTTTTGAGACCTCATGGCGAATGTGATGGCCTGCTTTTGATTTTTTTTGCAAACAGTTTTCCGAAACGTTAGAGGTCATAATTTTTGACAGCTAAATAATTTTTTTCAAAGCAGATTAGTCCTGGGCCCTAAAAATCATTCTATATTCCAATTAGTCAACAATGGCACTTAAGAAATTTTGGCCGGAAGGTGACGACGTCTCTATGGTCAAAGTGCGAAATCGCGTATCTCCATTTGCGACTTTGCAGATTTCCTGTCATACTTTCATTTCCCTTTGGAAAATTAGCCCTTTTCTCTGCTGGCAGACTTTTTGCTTTAAGAGGGGTTTCAGGTGAGATCAGCGCGAAAAACCATGCGCGTTCCAAAGATTTAACAACATTTTAATCAGCGCGTTGTAGAGAATCGACCTGGCCAAGAAAAATTCACGCTCATGTTACTAAAACCCTGCAAAAATTCCTTACAACTGTCCTAATGTAGACGAAACACTGAACTGCACTGTATCAGGGCACCCTTTGCCTTCTCTTACGTACGTTTCGTAACAATACATGTTTTGTCCTGAACTTTCGATGGAGTAAAATTATTTTATGAACGAATTAAATATGATGAGATCAAACAGCACGCACTTGAAGTAGAGTAAATGTTCGACACTGGTTCTCTGAATCGAGAAAAAACCACCCGAACGTGCTCTAATAGTCCAAAACAGACGGATTAATTGCAACCGATTAAGACTATCGCGCAGTTACATTGTCATCGAACGCATCATGTCACGAGAAAATTCGAGCCGGCACTGACCAGTTAACGCCCGCAATGCCTGCGGCCCGATCCGAGCTATCGGGAAAGGTTTAAAGAGAAGAGAATACAAGGTTGCCGATTACTGTGAAGCTTTTATTGCTGTTCGCACGATGAAATACAAATTTAGGAGGAAAATGACAGATCCAGAGCTAGGAGTTGCCAAATTTAATACTCGCAATATCAATTTTCGAAGGGTTTGTTTGGTTTTAATAATACCTATTCTGCCGTGCTAGGGAAGAACGCCGTGTGAACATGCGAGGGTTGCTGAATTTCCCTTGATAAAACATGTATTTTTCGAGGGAATTATGCGAATTTTTCCTTGAAATTTTTGGGCGTTTTAGATCGTGATGCGATTATAACTGTTTGAAAAATTGAAGAAAAAGACTCACAATTTTTCAAATGACTTCGGTTCTTATTGGAGGAATCATGGCAATGTCTGAAGGCTCATACGGTGTTCTTAGTTAGCACGGCAGAATTAGTGGGTCCTATTTTATGATTCCTCGATGGACGCTTTGCACCCTCAAAGGCCTTTTTGAGCAGGAAGGAACCTAGCTGGGTCAAAATTCAAAAATTTGTAGACAAAGGCATGAGTGGAATTAGGGGATTTTTGTGGGGGAGGGCA